CGGGATGGGGCCGGGGAAGAAGCGACGAGTCGCCACAACATGAGCCCCTTCACTGCCCTTATTTTAGTGGGGAGCTCCTCAGGGATGTCAAGACGCTCCCAAAAAATTGCTGTTGCAGCTCAGTGGGGGCTGGGTGGTGTTTCCACCCCGATTACCCCATCAGGTTGACAGGGCAAGAGAGAGCCCCAGGGCAGGGCGAATCGGTGTTTCCCCCCCGCTCAGGTTTCCCATGTGCGGCTTCCCACACATCAGCGCGATGTCACGGTGGCCACATCAGCTGAGCAAGTTATATTTACGTATTTTCTTTTTAACACCGGTGCTTAGCAGCAGGGTGAACAGGAATGGCAACTCAGTGGAAGCATTAAGGGGCAGCACCGAAAGTAAAAAAAAAAAATAAAAAAAATAAAGGATGCTGCCAGCATCGGCTGGTCTAAAAGCCACCGTATGTTTAGACCTTCGCCTCTCAGCTTGGCGCTTGCTTACTCCTCACTCTCCTCAAGCTGGAACTCTGCTAACAAGTGCCAGGCCAGAAAAAACAATTAATACTAATCATTAACACCTAACTGCTGAGAGCAGGGGGAGGTTGCCCGGGTGGAAAGCATGGCCAGGGGCCAGCAACCAGGGCAACCGGTGCTGTGTGAGCTCTCCTCCACGTTCCAAAGCTGTGCCATCGCACGCCCATGGGCATCCAGGCAGCAGGACGGCGGACGATGCCGTTCTCGGCAAAGCTCAGGGCAAGGAAGGGATGCTCCCGTGCCGCCTTGGTGGCCCCAGGCCAGCCAGGATTAGCCCTGTCCTGGGCTACCAGTCCTCAGGACAGGGTGGGATTTGTTTGACCCAGCCCTGAGCTCCGGAGCTGGCGGGGCTGTGCTGGCGTTACGTGAAGCCGCGGAGCACGCCGGGCGAGCCGGCTGAGCAGGTTGTGATGTAAACCCTGGGGGTGGCAGCGTGGGCTCCGACGCCCCAGTTCCTAGCCTAGTGCACACCCCTGTTACAGCAAAAAAAATCCATAATACCCTCTTCCCATCCTTAAAACCCTTCTCTGAGGCTTTGTGGTGATCCCCCAGACCCACAGCCCGGCCGTGCCACGCTGCCACCCCCAGACCCACAGCCTGGCCGTGCCACGCTGCCAGCAGCTCCGAGGGCAGGCATTGCCCGCAGGATGGACGTGCCGAGCGTGGGTGAACTTTCCTGCTCTGCCTGTTGCTGGCTGGAACACCTCGACGTGTCCCCGTCTCTCCCCTGCCCCCAAAACGGTCACGCCACACACACGGAGTCCCAATTCCTCCACTGCAAAGCTGGCAGGCCACGTCGGCAGAGCCCGATGGGCTGAGCCTGGCGCAATTAGGGTGCAAAAGAGGTTCCTCCCCTCTCAAAAGTGGGGGTTTCACCTACAGCAGCAGGGCTCCCTGGCTTCCATTTCCCCCGGAAAAAAGCAATTTCCCCTCGAGCGAGGACCAGGAGGTGGGAAAAGGGCTCTTCCCAACTTCTTTCCTGAGGCTGGGCAGAGCATGAGCCAGGGAATGCTTTCTTGCTCTTAAGGAGGGCTGGCCAGGGAACAGCAGCAAAAGGTCACCTGCTCAGAGGTAACCAAAGCCTTTGGAGACCTCTAAATAGACACACTCTTCCCACACCTCACATCCAGACCCAAGGAACGGGGGTACCACAGCTCACAGCCTCACACAAGGATGACACCGTGGTTTCCCCCAGGTCACAGGTCCCAACATCACGGGCAGCAGACAGAGCAGACATCCCATCGACCCGATTTCCTCTTTCCAAACCCTGGCACAACCCTGGCTCCCCCCTGCTCGGAGAAGGGAGGGAGCAAACCAACTTTTCACCCCAAGATCATCTTCAAAGGCAGAAGTCGCAACGCTCACGTCAAGGCAGAGCAGCTGGCCGTGCCGCCTGCCCCAGCATTCCTCTAGACTAACCCCACCCCCACGGCGGGATGAGAAAAACACACTTATGGAGCTTAAACATGAGAGCTGGGAACAATTTTGGGGTTCAGAGGGGTTTAATCTGGGCTCTCTTCAAGTCCTACACCCCCAGGCCTGGCCTTACCTTGGTAGGAGCCCAGGCACACGGAAAAGATCAGGACCCAGCCCCTCCATTTGCTCTCCATGCCGCTCCTGAGCTAGTCCTCGGCGGCTGGTTCCTCTCCGGTGCTGCTCCCAGACTGAGGAATCTTGGATGGGTTGGGAGGAGTGAGATCCTACACCTACGCTGGAGCAATTACCACACCCCTTCTTCTCCTTACGCCTTGATTATAAAATCAGCAGCAACTGTGAGTGAAGGGAGGGACTGGAGCCAGGCAGGTATTCCCAGGACATCAAATTCAGAAGCTGCTGCCCAACGCTCAACTCCATCGCTCCTGGCTGCAAAGGGTGGGCACAGGCCGGGGCAAACCACCCTACTACCCCCACACATCGCAGCTGTTTTCTGTGCTCTTCACCAAACAGAGCATCATCCCTTACCAAAAAAAAAAAAATAAGTATTAAGACCAGAAACTTTAGGACAAGTTGAATTGATGGTGTAGAGGCAGCCACGTTGTTCACTTAAAAGAATTTAAGAGAAATTTGGTTTATTCAAAATAACGAAGACAAAAGGATGGCTGCTTCAACTGCATCCAGCAGCTTCAGCAAGAACTTGCTCCTGCCTGCGCAAGGCCGAGAAAAATTGCGACACGGGGCTCCCGTTGCCTCACACCGGGTGTTGCACATTCGCGGAGGGGCCTGGCCCACAGCTGCTCTGTATAACAAAAGCCTGATGGGACACGCACCTCGCGTGGTGACAGCAACTCAAGCCCAAATCCAGCCCCGCATTCCTGGTGACGTTTTTGGGACGCGAAGGGGAAGCGACCAACATCCGTCAGCAACCGGCACGCGGCGAGGAAGTGAAACGCGTGGAACCGCTCAGTTTACAGAAGTTTTTATTGTTCATTAAGGAAGCTTTTGTGCAAAAATCAAGACAAACGTTCTTGAGAAAGCAACTGCACGTGTGTTGTCCTTCCCTCAAGCGGGTCAGGTGCCACGGTCCATAGGAAGGGAGAAAACTAGAGACCCCCAGCACTAGCACGGGATTCCCCACCGGTTCACCGCAGGTCTAAAAAAACCCCAAGAAAATTAAAACCCTGCCAACCTTTTAAGAGCAAGAGCCAAGCCGTTTCATCTCCCCCCCCGTCCCCCAAAAAAATTGTTATGAGAACACACGCCAGTTTAAAAGACTGAATACCACAGCATAACACAACCCCGTACCTCCAGGGTAGCCACAAGGAAGAGAGCTCGAGTCCGCCAGGACAGAAAGCTGCAAGTATTTTACATCTGTAGGTTTTCTCTTTTTGGTTTGTGATTTGGTTGGGGTTTTTTTCACAGCCACGAGTGCTTCAGCGTTCTGTACAAATGCAAGTGGGAAAGCCAAACCAGTATCGTCGTCGGTCAACACCGCCCAAACATTTAGTATGTACACGTAGTTAACAAAAAAAAAAGCTGCAGTTGAGTGGTTTTCCATTAAACTGTGTTAACAGTACCTTGCTCGCTGCTAAGAGGGTCCTTACCAGAGCTTCCTCCCATCCAAGACACCCTGGGAAGAGCACAGCAGTTGCCGCCACCTCTTCTGAACACTAGGACTGGAATTTTCAAAGCTCCTCCTTCTACCTTCCCAAAAAGGTCTCTTCGGAGCTACTGCTGCTGTTTTGGGGGGTTTAAGTTGTTCAGAACTACGCACTAAACACCAGGAAGGGACACAAGGTCCATCTCAAGCAACGCAAGGCCGATTCTCAACCTCCAGGCCCCAACACGTCAGGGGCTTGATTTGTTTCCCAGGTAGCAGCCGGCCTCAAAAGAATTTTGTCTGAGAGTTTTTCCATGTGTCTTCCCCTCTGTGCCGAACTCATTTCGATGTATGCACAGCCCCCGCTGACTTATTTTCTCCCCCTCTCCCTTCTCCACCTCCTCGGTGCCTGGCTGGTTGCATGTAGGAAGTCGCAAGACTAAGCGGAATTAAGCAACAAAGTAAAAAAAAAAAAAAAAAAAGAAACTAAGAAATCATTCCTTAAGTACGTCAGCATGCTTCAAATACACTGAAATCCCAACACACAGGGCTTGAGAGTAGAACACCCATGCTTAGTCCAAGGAAATAAAAAGGAGGTGATCAAAGTCTGAGGGAGGGCTTCCTTAGCTACAATAACGCCACTCAAACTGCAAAAGCATGGTCACTCCAACGCAAACTCGTCTTTTTTAGGTACCAGTTAGCTGGGCACACAGAGTCCCCCTCCTCTGCACCTGTAGAGCTTTGAAAATTCCAGCTGGAGGGATTTCCCAGATTCCACATTTTCGCTTAAAGGTTCCCCTACAGTTACACAGAAAATTAATAATTCCAGCCAGGTGTTAAAAATGCAAAGCATGTAATCTTCCCAGTGCTGGCTACTGAAAGACATCTGAAAGCTTAGCCACTATTTCATTCTTTTTTTCTTTTTAAATTAAAAGATAACAGTCTTATTTCCTTCCACCTTCTCTGCCATTCTTCCCAGCACCTAAAAACCACTTTGGTCTACCAATTAAAAAAACCTACAACACACTATTTTTAGGAGCATAACGAGTTAAACTGTACAATCAGAAATATCTTTTGTTAAGTCAACAATGAGGATCTGATCCTTCAACAGCAGCGCTGCTACAGAAGAGTTACAATAAAGGAACTTGAAGGTCAACTTGTTAACGAGGCAGAGAGGAGGGACATTCAGGATACAGCTCTCCGCCAACCTTGGCCCGCATTTTTGAGAGCCACGGCAAAACTTTCAGAACTGGAAATTCTTCTTCTAGTTCCACACGTGACGTTTGCAGTGATCAACAGCCTGGAGGAATAGAAATAGTGGATGTTAGCGGGGGGAAAAAAACAGCCCGTTCGCAAGTGAGCGTGCATCTGCACATACGGTTCAGTGCCTTATCCCGAGCCAAGATGCGGGAAGAGAATCTGTTTTTCTTAAAATAAACAATTCCAGAGAGGACGGGTGCAAACGACGACCTTGTCCCCACCCAGAAGCTTCAGGAAAGAACGCTGATGACCCTCAGCCATTAAGGCCTGGCAAAGAAAGCATCAAGCCCATGGCAATACCAGAGGCCAATTTTTAGAGTCTGATGCGAGGTCATGACACGGCCTGTTGGCCACAAGAACACACGGTCTAAATACGAAGTTCACGTTGTAACTTACTACAGACTGTGAGGTGCTAGCAGAAAAATGAGGAGAGAGGAACAAAAGGGAGAGAAGACAGTCTGCTCTAAGAAAGCTGAGGGCTATGGAAGGCCCTCTAACCAAACTCAAACCACCTCTAGCCGAACCTGAAATTCATCCCCTTCCAAGTGTGGTGTGGAAGCCATGAAAGTCATTTATTATAAGGGGCTATCAAAAACCAGTAGGAAACTCGAGGCAAGATCCCCCTTCACGTACATTGCACCGAGCAGCAGTCTCCATGTTCTTACACCAGTAACCTGGGCCCCAGACACAAGCATCTTCCCCCAGGAGAGGCTGTTGAGCTGATCCACAAACTCCAAGTTTCTGCAAAAAACAACAGCACTGGAGTCCACATCTTTGTTTTTGCACCAAGAGGTTGTGACTCCTGAGCTTCCACGTCACCGAGCACAGGAGCAACACCGGGGTAACTTCAGGAGCTCCGACACTCAACTGACACCTCGGTCACGCTCGCAGCAGAAGGAGCGGATGTGAAGTAGTCATCCGACACAAGGAAGGAGTAAGTGACCGCAAGAGCTTTTGAATTTCGAGAAACAAGAGCTTGTTACTAAACCTCAGCGGTGGATAACCACTACCGGGCTCTTTTCTCCTCTCTTTCTGTGCACAAGGCTGGCAGTGACAAGTAAGCCTGAGGTCTTGCACAACCATGTTTGCTCTGAGCATTCACCTTGCTGATTTTCATTCCAGCAGAGTTTCTGCACGCTGGGTGCTGAAAGGTACATGCGAGTAAGTCAGGATCAGCATCAGAATCCGACTTCAACAGAACTAAACACGATACTCACAGTGCAAACAAAAGTGGGATCCATCACCTCCGCCAAGAGTTGCACAACCACGGGTTCATACTGTTCCACAAACTGAACACACTGTAACAAAACACACACCTTCAGAGATTCTCCCATCTTAAAAAGAAAATAAAAATAAAAAGAGGAAGACACAGTCTTCAGCAGGCAGGCCTGTACACTAATCTGAACACTCCAGTAACACACACCAAACCGACAAACTAGGCTCTACAGACTGGAAAGGACTCAGTATTGCACTAATCACACAACTACAGAATTTTTTGCTAGCTCATGGTTATGGTGAGAAAGGGGTCAGAAGGAAAAGCACCGAGTGGGACAGGCTTTGGGAAAACAACCGAGCAGGACAGGCTTTGATTTGCAAAACTTAAAAGTCTCAAGAAATCGCCGCTGTCTCACAACGAAAGCACACTGAGCAAGCTGGAGACAAACATCCTGAACAGGAGGGCAACAACGACCCTTCAGCACTCCTAACTCGGGCAGTTGCTGTTCACTTCGGAGCAGCAAGAACCTTTCTCACTGATAGAGCACTCAGCCCTCTAGTGGAGAGGCCACTTTGAAAGCCCAGAGAGATACTGGCTACCACAGTAGAGAATAACAGAACTGATTAATAAGCAAATCACAACTCTTAAGCAGTTGGCAGGAGTAGCTGTTTCATGGCTGCTTTAAGCCTCTGTACTGTATGCCTTGTAAACTTACAAGCAGTTGCAACTTGCTGACACTGTTTTAAGATTTTTAGGTAAATTCTTACAGCAGCGGCCTAACAGGTGTTGCTTTGAGTTATGTCAGTATACTTACAATTAAAAAAAAAACAATAAACAAAAAAAACCCCAACAAACTACCCAGAGATACTGCTCTCCAGTTTTTCCAAATACTCTGCAAGATGTTTCGTCCTCCTGTTCACCTCCAGCTGCCTTGTGTAAACTGGAAGGCATGCTGCCACCCGGCAAGGACTGCGTGGTCAATCTGCCCGCCTCAGATCAAGCCTGTTCCCTTCATTTTTGCTCTGCTGCACACGAGAAGCAGCTATGCTTCAGTGCAAACTAGTCTCGGGGAAAAAAATGGAAGGATCAGGTTGCTGAAGGCAAGCCAGCGCCTCAGTTCCACCTGCAGACAGTTTGTCTCCAGCCAGAAATTTCTACTATGAGTACCTGGATATTTACAGAAGTAGAGACCCTTGAGGGATGGACCTAAAATTGGACAGAATATCAGGCGAAATGCTCAGAAAATGAGGTTAAGTGTAACTCTCGCTGTAGGACCTAGGTTCAGCAAGACTCTTTAACCCAGCACAAGCGCTTTACCTGATCGGTGACAGATGCTGGCAGGAAGTGACAGACTTTTTCCAGCAAAGCTTCAATTTCAGCTGTCGTGGCGTTCTTCTCTAGCTCTTTGTCTGCATAAGCTACCACCATCTTGCAGACATCACAGAAGCCACCTGCAGGTTTCGATACAACTGAGAAAGAGAAAAAAAGTAAAAAAAAAAAAAAAAAAAATCAGATCAATCAGGCAGTTCCCCCAAACAGAAGAAGGGAGGCAGCATCAGCAAAGCTAAACCTCATAAAAGGTATAAAGGTAGGCGAACTCGATTTTGCAATGCCTCATTACCAACCTGGCTGCTCTGGAGGTTTGTTGGCTGCACAGCATTTCAGCATTACACACACAGTTTCAGGGTTCGTTGCCTCCAAGAGCATGTCAATCAAAGCCTGGCCATAGACATCGATGAAGTCCTTACACTGGTCTTTGACACTTCCTGGGAACAGGTAGCAGATGACCTCCATTTCGTGGACAATTTCCTCCTGGAGAGCATTGAAGGACATGTAGCAAAGGAGAAACAGCAATCTGACTCGGTTCCCAATTCCCACATATTCTCTTACTCTATCTCACCCAGGATGTAAACCTTCCTCTTACGAAAACAGGCAATGAAATGAATTTTCCTTCCCCGTGTCCTGGTTTCAGTTAAAATTGCCAATTCTGTTTAGTGACTCTTACTTTCCAGTTTAGTCTCTTCTAAAAGGCTGCACTTTCTGAAGTCAGGAGCGTGTTTTTGCAGACAGTGCCTGCTACCGGCAGTGATAACACCTGATGTTTGCAGTTACTGCCTGGGACTGGTATCCAGAAAGGCTCTTGCTTTTACTTACTCCTGTAGTGACCAAGACTACTGCTGGCTCTGTGTGCCACACTGGGGGTGTTGGGTAGTAAAGGGGGGTCACAAGGAAGTAAAAGGTTGCACCTCCGGGGGGTAATAGACAGGACAGGTGACCAGTGAGAGTATTCCATCCCATACACGTCACATTTAGTATAAACTGAGTGATCACAAGAGTATCGCCCTTTTCTGCACTGGCCGGTGTCCAAGGAGGACTCCACTCGACCCTCTGCTTTTGATCCGGATCCTGAGTTCCCAAATCCAGCTCCCTGTATCCAGCTCCCGCTGCTGTTGAGCCTGGGGCTGCCCCAGTTCCTCCTGCTCTGCAGCATCAGCGGTGACTGTTATCAAGGGAGGAAGTCGGGTTCAATATCTCGCTAATATATATAGTTTATACAGTTCTTTATTTTTATCATTTCATTAAAGCTGTTCTGGTTTCTTCTTCTCTAACCCATAAGTCTCTCTGCCTCATTCCCTTTTCCTTCCTGTTTGGGGAGGGGGGAAGAGGGGGTTAGAGAGTCTGACCATGTTAGTGGCTGGCCCAGCCCTAACCTGCTGTACAGCTCCTGGCAGAGGGACCATCTCCACTTACACACCTCGGTCTTGTTGCTCTCCAAGAGGCCGGTCACTTCTTTCACCATGGTCTCACATATTTCACACAAGGAAAAAGTCTTCTCTTGAACTGAGGCTTTCTGAGGATGCAGAAGAAACGTAACCAAACAACGAATCAGTCAGCAAAAGAACAGACTAACAGCGCTGACATCCAGGCGCAGCGCAGCAATTCATTTACCTAGCTGGGATGTGAGAGCTGATTTCAAAAGATCACGCTGATCCTGAAACCAACCTCAAAAGACCTCAGCAAAAAGCCTTTCTGAATGAACAGTCGTTTTGTACTATTAATTAAGGCTGTCTTAAGGAGGGGCAGGTGG